ACAAACAGTAAAATTCATCCTTTTCAGTGTAAAATTCTATGAATTTTAATAAGTGTACATTGATTTCTGACTATGTCAAAAAAGTGAGAAAAACATTTAAAGGGAAAGTCTACTAACTGAGATATTCATGAAGGATAAGGTTCCTTTTTTTAATGTTTCTTATTTATTTTTGAGAGAGAGATAGAGACAGCATGAGCAGGGGAGGGTTAGAGAGAAAGGGAGTCACAGAATCTGAAGACAGGCTCCAAGCTCTGAGCTAGCTGTCAGCACAGAGCCCAACGCGGGGCTCGAACCCACGAACCGTGAGATCATGATCTGAGCTGAAGTTGGACACTTAACTGACTGAGCCTCCCAGATGCCCCAAGATAAGATTCTTTTAAGATCTTTGGAGGCAGTGACAACTATCTTTTCTTGGAAGATAAGTTCGTACACCTCAAATTTTAAAGCCAAGTGGGACCTTGGAGATTGTTCAGTTCATGGTTTTTAAAAGTTTCTTTTTACAGTGACAACTATTTTATAAACTGCGTCTAACATGGACATAGAAAAGTAGAGTCGACCTGCAGAGAGACCAGGAAAAACAGTCTGAAAACTACCAATGGGGTCTAACTGTCGTGTGCCCAAGTTAGAAAACTGAGGTCAGAATAGGCTGAGTGACCCCTCGAGGTTGGCCGCTCTTATTGGCAGAGCTGGTGCTCAAACTTGAGCTTTGCTGCCTGTTAGTCAGGGCATTTTCCATGTCTCTTCAGCTCAAGAGAGTCCTAAGTGTTAGTTAACCCCACCAAGGAGATCGCATGCTTATTTGGAATAGTGCGGTGGGTCTATAGATACGTACCAGTACAAAGATTGAAATGGCCAGTGACCACCATGAACGGCAAAAGTAGGAATCAGTCCAGGAAGACCAGACTAGATTTTTGGGGCAACACAAGTTATTTAGGGAGGCCGGAGCCTGAATATAGAGAGAGACCTGGGAGCCCTGTACCAGAAAGAAAAGTGGTAAGCCTCCAGAACTTGACAATCAGCCAAGTCCTTAGAACTACACACTTCCTTGATGATTCATCCCAAGGTCACCCGCCCGTCTCTTCCTAAAGGGCCGTGGCTAGATCCCTACATAGGGTTGCAATTTAAATATAGACTATTGAGTGTACAAGGAACTGGCTGATTTGTCTTCTTTCTTACCTGGGACTCCTCTTTTACTTCCTTACTCTGATTTGCGAGTGGGAAGTGGGGGTTAAGCAGGGAGGCTGTTGTGGGAAGGCCAGGGAGTATAAAACTCATACCCATGGTATGTAAGTTCTGCGTAATAGACTCATTATTCCCTGTATCTGCTCAATGAATTTAATTCATTGTTTGGACCATCATATTAAGAACACAAATCCCACTGACTCTTTATGAGCCTACTGTACAAGAATGCCACACATTGCCATTAAATATCCCACCTTGCCAACTGCAGCGATGAAAAGAGAAAACCAGAGAGTGGGGTTAGTGACAAAGAACATTCTTCTGTTATAGCAGACGCCTTGTCATGTAAAGCTGAGGGAGATACTGGGTTTGGTGAGCAAACCATTGACCATACCTTTTTAGAAGAAGACATTTATGAATATGATCTTGAAAAAGTCACACTCCAGTCCCTCTTTCAGATAAATTCCTCTAAGGTTAAAAGTAAGGCAGGTAGATACCCAATGACATCATTCAGTTATTAGCTCACACCAATATCCTCCAAAGAGGAATAGGGTCAAATGAGCCCACCTCTTGCCTAGATATTATATATACAGGGTTGTTTCCATTGATACTTCGAGGACCATGTCTGTCTTTACAAAAAGAATTATTAGCACCCTTTTTCATGTAATTTGAGATTTGGGTTTTTAAGTGGGGAGCTTGTGTGATTTTTAGGTATCCCTGAGTTAGGTCATGGTAGTCTCACTTTAGCATAGGGTTTTAAATTGTTGGAATTTTCAAAATATTAGTGTGTGCTCATATACCAGCACACAGTTAATGTTCTAGAATAATCTTATGTATATGAGTTTGTAAATATGCAGCGTCACCATGCTTACTCCCCCCCAGAAAAGTGTGCAATCAGGATTCTCAGCTCTCACATGGTCAAGCCACAGGAACTCCTTTTTTAAAAAAAGAGTAGAGGAAATATTTGCAAGAGTGGTAAGATTTTTTTTTTTTTTTTGGTACAAAGTGCAAGCGAATAGAGTTGAGTATAGAAAATGAGAAACAGCACTCGGTTCTTAAAAATCAGGGGAGGAATTTGATGAGAGCTGGTACTGCCTCTTTGATAAGCAGAAATCAATAGACACGAGGAGGTGATGACTTCTCAGGTATCAGAAGGTCCTGCAGTGTCCTGTGGGAGGTGGGGGGAGGGGAGAACGTTTAGGCATCACTACTGAATGAGTTAAGTTAACAACAGGGATTTTTAACAACACTTAATGATCTGGGTGCCTGAGTGTCTCAGTCGGTGAAGCTTCCAACTTCGACTCAGGTCATGATCTCGCAGTTTGTGAGTTCGAGCCCTGCATTGGGCTAGCTGCTATCAGCTCAGTGCGCCCTTTGGATCCTGTGTCCCCCTTTCTCTCTGCCCTTCCCCCACTTGCTCTCTCCAAAATAAATCAAAATTTTAAAAAACCACAGTACTTGATCATCTGTTTAACTTGTGTATGACATTGCAATAAATAGAAAGACACATTTTAAAAAAAACAGACAACTATTTATTGAGCACTTTCATTGTGAGCTGCCCAATAGAATGAGTGTGGATGGGCTAATTTTAAGTGCCAGGGGTAGTTGCTTTAGCACCAAATAAAGCTAAACATTGAAGTGCTAGGGGAGACCCAGACTCCAGTATGTTCAAGAGCATGATGAAATCTAGTGAAACCCACAGACAAGCAAAAGGAAATGGATTATGGGTCCCTTGATTAGTATCTCCTACCTGAACTGGAATAGTTAAGTGGACTTTCTGCATTTTACATCTCTAGCAGAATAGTACAGAACATTTTTCTGAGTACAATAGTAATTTGTTCAGACTGGAATGTGAATCCCGGCTTGGCCAGTTTACTCACTCTATGACCCGGGACATTTTACATAACCTCTTTTAGCCTCAGTTTCCCCATCTATAAGGCAAGGCAACAACAATCTCACAGGGCTTTTTTAAGTAAATAATGAAACAATTTCTGTAAAACAAACTAACTTGGTATTTGATACCTAGTAAGTCCTCAAAAAACAAGTATTTATTATGTGATATTTGTTTTAGTTGCTGTATATAATGTTGATTGAGGAACTTGGTGAAACAACCCATAAGAATATTATATTGCATATTAAATAGGCCCTCGTTATATAAGATGAAATGCTTTTGCTTTAGGCCTATTTATGCTTCATTTTCACAGAGAAGGGAATGAATAGCTTATTGACTTAGGGCATCATCTAGATCGAAGGGGACTTGGGACAAGTTCTTATATGTAAGAGGCATATATAATGTAGAGGCTACCACTAGAGGGCTCTGCAGAGACCTGAAAATCCTTTTCCTTGGCTATAGTGATGGGAGCGATCTTAAGAAGCCATGGCCTTTCGCGGAGCCAGGGCCATTCTGTCGTGGTGGCTGTCCAAGAGGACAAGTAATAACAAATCCCTACAACGCAACCTGTACAAACCACTTCTTCCAGGGACCTGAGGGTTTGTGCGTGCATGTCACCAGAAACAGCTGTTAGGTACCAGGCTAGGGAAACCCCATCGCTCCGAGGTCCCCCTCTGCCTCTCGCCATGCCACTGAGTCAGCCTCATGGGGATCAAGAATGACCTTGCACCGTAGAGTATCAACTTTGAGACAGGAAACCAAGCAGAGTGGGAGGTCCTCAGACTCTGGGGAAGGACTTAAAGACAACAAAACCCACCTTGAATGACGGCTGAATCTTCCTCTGCCCAGGGGAGGCGGAGACCCCCCCTGACTGGTGCCTGGGCGTGTGTGAGCGAGATGCCCATTAGGTCTCACGGAGTTCTTGGGCTGCCCCAGCCCTGTGCATCCTACCTGCAGGGTGATGGCTCCTCTAATGATGCATTATCATTGGATAAACGCCCCGGGGACTCGGTGGTCACTTAAGGACCAGCCCAGCCAGTGATGCAATAGGGATGTCATTGCTTTTTAACACGCATCATTGGCCAGTAGCTTGCAGCTGGGTCTGAGTGGAACAGTGAGACCAGTGTCTGCACAGGCCAGTGCCAGACCAGCTACAGTAGCATGAACCTGGGAGCTGGGCAGAAAGGAAGTTTCTCCACTTCCCAGGGAGTTGGGGCTCGCTGGACCTGGGAGATGGGACAGGAACGGAAATCTCAAGCCTTCCTCTTCTTGTTGCTGCTTTGCTCCATGGACTTTGCCTCTTCCTCCCCGCCCCCCCCCCAAAACTGTTGTCCCCCGAGGCCAGACAAGATAATGTGCCCATAGACTCTTTCAAAGAAGTTCACACAGGCCCTTGGGAAGCTTTGCTTTTTTCCTGACTTCTTTCGGTAAACCACAGCTCAAGACTCTGTGCAGGGAAGTCAGCTCTCAATTCAAAGTCAGACGCCTCGCTTTTTAAACTCTGAGGCTAAGTTCTCCGGTGTCCCCTCCCGTGAGCTGGTGATGGCAAAGGGCCGACCTGGGAGCTGATGGCCAGCCCTGCTGGAGGCCACTGCCTGGCCAGGGCTGGGAGGGAGGGCCCCGGGCTGCTGCGGGGCCGGGCGTCCCGGGGCGGGGGGCGGAGCAGGTGAGCCCGCGGGGTGGGAGTGGGGAGCGCACTTGTACGTGACGTTGGAGTTTGCAGCAGCCTCCAGGCGGGAGGCTGTGGGCGCGTGTGTGGAGTGGCTGCGCGGCCGGGGAAGATGTGCTCGGAGGGGCGGCCGCCGCAGTGAGCCGCACGGCTACAGGAGCCCCGCCGGCAGCCTCCGGGGCAGGGCGTGAGCGGCCAGCCGCTCGCGCTCCTCCGCGGCGGAGGCCACCGGGACCGGACCCGAGAGGCGCGCCCCGGCCGGCCCCAGGATGTAGGCGATCAGCGGAGGCGCTCCTGCAGGCGGACGGCTCATCATGAAGAAGCACTCGGCCCGGGTGGCCCCGCTCAGCGCCTGCAACAGTCCGGTCCTTACCCTCACCAAAGTGGAAGGTAACGGCTCCCTCCCGGGGCGGCGGGGGCTGGCGCGAGGTCGCTGCACCCCCGCGGGGGGCCGCCACCCTGCTGGGGCTGCCTGGTCGCGGGTGCTGCCGCGCACCCCGGGAAGCGTCGCCCGCAGTGCAGCCCCATGCCCGATGCCTGCAGGGGGTGGCAGCTCGGTAGGTAGCGCCAAGGCAGGGCTGAGCTGCTGTCGGGGAGGGGGGGGTGATCTGCGGGGGGGGTGTGCCCCCCTGCGGCCAGAACACAGGGCTGGCGCCTCCCTGTGTGGCCCCCAGCACATCTGGCGACAGGAGCGGGCAGTGGTGGCCTGAGCTCCTGCCTGTCCTGTCCTGAGGCACCTGCCAGCTGAGGCTGAGGAGGGAGGGGTCTCGCAGACACTAACCAGTGCTCTCCTGTACACACACCCCCACCACATTGCACACACAGGCGCACACACCCACAGTTGAATCCCCTGGGTTTGGAGCATCCCCTCTGCCCCCACCCCCACCCCAGGCAGCCCAGAGATATTGCTCAGCTGGTGAGGAAGGAGATATGCATATGCGGCAGCCCCAGATCAGCTCTCCTACCCCCAAGCCTCCCAGCCCCCAAGGAGTGTGCGTCCCCAGCTTCCCCAGAATGGGTGGAATGGGCGGGCAAGCAGGTGAGAGAGAAGCCCGCACCAGCCTGTACACAGGTCCTTTCCCCAACTCCAGGGACACACAGACATTTACACACAGCTGTTGTCCTGCTGGAGTAAAGGGGACCTTCCTTTCTGATGGGGCGGGGATGGGGGGTGCAGAGAGAGACCAGTCCTTAACTGCTTCTAACAGGAGGTGGAAGGCCTGAGTCTTCCTAGAGCTGGCCAAGTTGGCCAGGTGAGGGCAGGGAGGGAGCCGCCGGCCAGCGGGGAGAGGAAAGCAGACACTTCTGGGTTCCAGGCCTTCACTTCTCCCGAGCTAACAGAGCCCAGAGCAGCCAGTGTGTAAGAGAGCCCAGCTTCTGCCTTGTCCTTGGGACTGCAGCCTGGAGCCCAGACCTCTGTCTGATGGCTTCCAAGGACCAGTATCGCCTCACAAGTTCTTGCGTGTTTCAGTGAGGCAGAACCGGTAAGAACAAGATGGAAGCTTAGCAAGGCAGCTGTGTACTCCGCACGCAGCCCATCCGCTGAGGTCCGCCAGGAGCCTTCCTGGTACCATTACCCCCATCCCACAGCTGAGGACTGTGAGACCCTGAAAGGCGGATTGACTTGTCCAAGACCCATGGCTAAACAGTGGTGAGACAGGAATGGAATCTTGGGCCCTCTGATCCCAAACCTATGCTTTTCAGGACACGATTTTTCAACAACTTGCAACTCTTTACCTTTTTCATCATCTTCTGTCTAAAGAAGGTTGATGTTTTTTCCCCGCTTTGTGTAGCTGTCTCTGCCCCTCCCCCATCCCGATCTTAGGAGTGACTTGGCATCTGTCATCTGCACCTGAATTCAGTGCATGTGCCAACTTTCCCAAGGGGTTCTGCCTTCACGGGAACACTGCCCGGGCATACGTGCAAGATGGGGAGGGGAAGGACTGGAGGATATGTATGTCCTGTAGGGAAGCTGGAAGTGTCTGCCCACTCCTGGGTCCTAGGGGGGGGTCCCCCCACCTCCACCTTCTAAGGACAGCAGGCTGTTGCTGCGTTCCAGCAGGAGAGTGTCCGCCTCACTGCCCCCAGCAATCCCCAGCCCATCATGCAAGTCAGGTCTGAGCTGCTCTCCGAGTCAGGCTGAACGTGGATGGTGAGGCCACCCAGGCTGGGTGCCGTGACCCCACAGGGGCTAAAGGAGGCAGCGAGGGACATGCCAGAGGGACATCCCAGGTTCACCTTCAGGGAATAAAAATGGGGATTCCCCAGTTCCCTTCGGTTTAACTGTCAGGTGAGCATCGAGCTTCCTGTCCGCACTGATGACCTTAGCAAGCCGTGGACTTGGGTTTTTCACCAACGTGTGCCCGCCCATACACATCTGTAGATAGCGGAAAGCGTATGTAGCTGAGAATTGGAGAGATCAGGGATCAAGACTCTGCTCTTCTCCCCCCCTCCCCCCACCAACTTGTGTAAATCATGAGCATTGAGCCTCAGTTTCCTTGTTTTGAGCCCCAGTAAAACAGAAGTAACAACCCACCTCAGCTGGCTTTGGGGACGCAGTGAGGCAGGATGGGTGGTAACACGTAGCGCACATTAGGCGCACAGTAGATACTTAATAAATATCTGGCACTCCTCCAGTCACAGACTGTCTTGCACCTTCAGCAGACCTTCTTGTTCTCAAAGAGTGCGTGTGTGGTGACGGTATCTAGAAGCATCCGCAGAGTTCCAAGGATCCTAGAAAGCCCCCGATTCCCTTTTGCAGAGGACACCTACACGTAGGTCAGCAGAAGTCTGCAGGCCGGGGCCTGCTAAAACCTGCCGTTGGTATCTCTGGGACTCCATGTAGCACTTTCTCTCTGCCTGTTTTTTCTTTTCTTTTTTAGCCTGGTGTTTTTGTTCAGTTTGGCTCTAGGTCTATTTTTTGAAACCATTTGCATCTCGTGTGCTTGCTTTGGAAGTGCTGAATCATTTTGTTTTGCCTTGGATGCACAGGGCAGGGTGGTCCCCATCCTGAGGCTGTGTTTCTGTGTGGATGGCAGACGGGCTATAGTGACGGAATGCAGCCAGCAAGGAATATTTATTGGGTTGTGGAGCGTGTCTTCTATGGGGAGGCAAGAAGGCACCAGCGTGCAGTACACAGAAAACCAAAATAGAAAACGCTGTGCTGGGCTGAACTGGAACACAGAAAAACGGACACGCGGACTTCATTTACTCAACAGATACCTCATCCAACCCTACTGTGCATCCTTTGTCTAGTTAGTGAGGCCCTAGAAATGCAAAGATGAACAACACTAGCTTCGTTCCCATAAGGAAGTTTTCAGTCTAGTGCAAAAGAGGCATGCAGATTGATATATTATCTAGGGTAAGATAGTAAGTTCTGGTACAGAGCTAAGAACATAGTGTCACAGGGACACTGATAATTGAGGAAACTAAGGAGGCCCTCCGGAGGAGGAGACCTTCTTGAGGAGACCTTCCTTTCAGGAGGAAGAGGCCTGTCTGGGGAGGAAGCCTGTCTGAGGAGGAGGCCTGTCTGAGGAAGAGGCTTCTCTGAGGGGGAAGCCTCTCTGAGGAGGAAGCCTCTCTGAGGAGGAACCTGTCCCAGGAGGAGGCCTCTCTGAGGGGGAAGCTTCTCTGAGGAAGAAGGCTCTCTGAGGAGGAGGCTTCTTTGAGGAGGAAGGCTCTCTGAGGAGGAAGGCTGTCTGAGGAGGAGGCCTCTCTGAGGAGGAGGCTTCTCTGAGGAGGAGGCCTCTCTGAGGAGGAAGCCTTCTGAGGTAGAGGTGTTGTAACTGAAGTGAGAAAACTTGTCAGGCACAGAAGGGAAGGCTGTTTCAGGCAGAAGGAATGGTGTGTGCACAGCCTTGGCCAGGAAGCAAGAGAAGGGGAGAGCATCTGGGCCCCAGAGAGGGGTTGAGGTTGGAAAAGTGGTTTCCAGCCAGGTTGGTAGCATCTGTCCCATGTGACAGCATATCTTGTTCTCGTATCCTTTTCCTCACTTTCCCATCAGACGCAGACCCTGAGCATCGATCAGCAGCACATCTCTGTAGTAGAGGAGTATTTACGGGGATCGTCTATGTTCACAACCGGCTTATTCACGTTCAATACAAGCACATTCGGTATGAATTGGTAGTTGAGAACAATAACAACAGGTTTTCCCAAGAGGCTGACAGTATGTAGTATTCTGGAAAGAGTGAGGGCTTTGGAATCAGATGGACCAGGTTTAGTGCCCACCTCTCACGGTGAACCAAGTAACTTTGGCAAATGATTCAAGCTCAGTGCGAGCTTCTCTTATATAAAAATGAGAGGGACGCTCTGACCCTCTTAACAGTGATTGTTTTTGCTAAGGAGCCTTCCATGTTGCAGGCACTTTGTTTGGGGTGATTGCTCCCTGACTGCTATTTCTCCCAAAGGAAGGATAAGCATTGTTACCCCAATATATAGACAAGGAAACTGAGGTTCGGAGAAATCGTTCATGCAGGGTCATGTGGTTTGAAAGCAAGGGTGTCAGGCTGCATGTCCGTCTCTCCACTGGCTCCAGAATGTTACAGAACCTTTGTACCACTGCGTTTCACTTGACTGGCAGTGGGAATTCCACCTGCTCGTGGCCCTTTGGAAGAGCTCAGTAAATGTTTGCTCACCGGAGCTGCCACGACAATATGGCGTAGAGGACCGGACCGTCCCTGGGGCTCACGAGGCCAACTGTCATTGATATTCTTAGTACCTCTGCTCTGGGGCTGTCAGCCCATCTCAGCCGCCCCCAGCGCAGGTGTGGCTACTCGGTTTCTATTAATGGGGTAGGACTGTCATCCCCGGATGCCCCTTGTCATGTAAGTGGATCCCCAGTCCCGTTGGTCTCATCTTACAGGAGTCTTGAAAAATATACCACCAAAGGGCTCCTGTACCCAAAAATGTTTCCCACGTTGGGTTGTCCTGGACCCCAAGCTTCAGTAACAAAAGTCATTTGTCATTTGTATATTGAACAGACATGTTACCTAATTGGTGCAAGAGAATGAACTAGACATTGCTTGAGGACACTCGGAGGGGTAAATTACACAGAGCTTCCAAACAAATTACACAGAGCTTCCAAACAAGGGAGAACTGTCACAAATTCCATGTTGGAGTCTTTTTTTTTTTTTTTTTTTTTTAACTCCATGAAAGGATTATAACATAAATGACGTGTTTCGGTTGAGGGCAAGCGCACTTCTGGCTGGGACGCAGATGGCCACTATACAGCTCTTGGCCACCAGTCCCCCCGACCTTTACCAAAATGACCTAATCTAAAGACACGCTTTCCTGCTGAACCTGGATGTGGCTTCAGGATCCTCCTCATCTCCAAAATGCAGGTGATGGCTATACATTCTTTGGAACTGGACTTGAGCATGATCAGGGTGGCA